CCCCAAAACCCCAAAACCCCAAAACCCCAAAACCCCTTTGATACTCAAATTAATTGGAACTGCTTCATTTAAACTTGTAATGATACTGCAGCCCTTTAAATGTCTTAAAAAGCAGCTTACATGGAACTCAAACATGAATCTCAACATAATCGTCAGGGTTCAAAGCAGGCTCGATAGGTTTATCCTTCCCCATATTTATGATGTTCTGATATCTCTTGTTACCGATGGATAAGCTTGAATCCTGAGCAACAGCTCCAGGCTTATTCGATAGTTTTTGAAGTTTCTCCCACCTTTTTAACTCCATATCAGCCTTCTCTTTTTCAATTTGCTCAGCTGTTTTTGGTAAAGGATCTTCTGTAAATGAAGCAGCCAGTAATTGTTCTGACTTCATTATTTCATTCTCATTGAGGTACTTTGCATCTTCCTCCATAGGTGTCTTATGTTTTGAAGGATCATATTGTAAGAGAGAGCTAGGTAGGTTTCCATCCCTATTAGACCCTTCCTGTTCGCTCTTAGTCTTTTGAAAGGCATTATTGTCAACTCAATATTTAATGTAAACTCGCTCATCTTTTATTGTAATTGGGTCTCTTTTCGCAGATTCTAAAACTTTTCGAGCATCTTCAATTGTGAAGTATTCTACAAAAACAAAGTTTCTATATTGATCAGGATAGTTCCTGTCCCTTATCAGCCTGATATCTTTAACTTGTGCAAATTTTTCGAAAATATCCAAAAGAATTGCATCATCAACTTCAGGATTTAAATAATCGCTCTGAGTAAATTTGACCATTAAAGATGTTGTTTCTTTGACTCTGCTATCCCCATAGCCAGACCTGTCATGGTAGGAATCAGATTTAGAGTACTTAGAGGACTTTGATCTTCTATGTCTATCTCTCCTACGACTAGACCTACTCCTACTTCTTCTGTGCCGATCTCGACTATCTCTGCTGCTGTAGCTACGACTGGAGGATCTTCTTCTATTTCTTCTTCTATCTCTAGAATCATTTCTCTTCTTTCGTGGTCTCTCTACTGAAATTGAGGAGCTACTTTCACTTCTGGAGTAAGACCTTCTTGCTCTAGAACTGTGCCTTCTTCTATATCTCCTTTGTGGAGACCTCCTGCTATAGCTATCTCTGTGTGACATTTTTAATTATAATTTCTAAAGTTGGGGTTTTGGGGTTTTGGGGTTTTGGGGTTTTGGGG